GGGGGGGGGGGGAAACAATCCTACTTTTACAGCAAGAGATTCTCACTGCTTCACCCTTATTCACAACCTACGTCTCAAAGCAACATTTGCTTGTTGATTATGGAAAGGTAGAACATGGTTCAGCGAGTTGCTGCTTGCACAGCATGGAGGGATTTGAAACAGTTAATGACGTGATTATTCAATCTGTTTAATTTCCTGTTCCAAGAAGTCTTAAATTATAGTAATAACTACTACTTCTATTTAAATAAGGTAAGGAGTTAACCAAACCATATGCATTTTTTTTTACCCAGGGAAGAGCTACATGTGACAGCAGCTGCCATTTTTTGAGGACATGTTCCATCCTGCCAGATGTCTTTTTCACATAACAGTATATTTTCTTCATCACCACGACAACGCACTTCACTCCAGTAAACCGGAATAAGGCCCAGTCCAGAAAATGGTATGTGTTTTGCTGTACCTTTTTCACTGTAAGAAGAATAATCAGGATAGGAGATTAGAGTGGGAGGAGGGGAAGTGGAACATTTTCTCTTATATAAATCTTGGAGTACAAAAGAAAGGGCTTTCTTCAGCAGTGTAAATTCATCACATTTTCATACAGTTCAGCATTGTCTTCTGCACAAAGAAAAGTAACAGATGTGACCCAGTTCTCACCATTTTTTTTGTGGGACATTATAGTACAATGGCCTGTGTTGCTGCAGGGCTAGCTACATTCCTGCCCTCCTGGTTCTTAACTACAAAGATCAACAGAGTCCACAGTCCATAGGTGAATCTACAGTACCATCCTGCTGCAGTTATACTTCCAGGAGAGGTAATGCTAACGGACCTTTCACACTTATCCTTTCCCTTACTCAATTAAAATGTACCAGTGCTCTGCCCATACGTGTCATACACTAGGGCTGTGACCATGGAGCAGTGAAACCACCTCATACTCCACCAGGCTCGTTTCCATTATTCTCTATTCAGCCATTCCCATCCTTCCGGAACATTTATAAACAGCCTCCTTTTCTTCCCATACTGAATCTACAGCAGCAATTATTGAGCCATCTTTTCTTCCATATAATACCCAACAAAATTAAATTAAAAACAAAGCCCAAATATTGTAAAATCAAAGGAACAGATATTGTAAAATCAAAGGAAGCACCTGGAAAGCATCAATAACACCTAGTGAGGTCACCTTGTAGTATATAGACCCAAATGTCTGCCAAACACTCATAACAGAACTTTTCAACTACCGTTTACTTGGGGCTTTTTGGCCTAGATTCAGCTTTAAGCCATTTCTGTTGAAAAGACCATCATTCACCCGTATCACTGAAGTAGTTTTACTAATAGTGGCCTTGTTCAACTGAAATGTTCAGACTATGGAAGGCAAAAAGAACTTAAATGAAAATGAGGAAAGGAGACATTGCACGTAGACAGCTGAAGTCATAAGCAGAATCACAGCCTCCAGATGGCTGAACTTTTATCTCATCTAATCCTCATATTTTTATAAATTGGCATGGTGTGTCCAGATTAGTATTGAACATTATAAAACAGCTTAGATTTAGTTCTGGCTAGCAGTCTTAAAAAGTGGAATAATCATTAGGAATGTCACAGTGCAAGTATGCTATAAAAGCCCCTTACTGCTTGTAGCAAACAAAATCACTACTTTGGTATGTGACTGAAAGAAATGTTAGAAAGGCAATAAAGCCAGCCATACTTTGTGGCTTATTGAGAAAGTGCAAACTGAATGGGGTGCTAAGGGGGATATTCAAGTAATTTGGTTGCTAACTTGAACAGCATTGATTTTTTAGAAGCTGAAATTGCATTTTATTTTTTAAAACTCGGTTTTGGTATGGGCATTTTGTTCCTTACCTCAGTTTCATCTTACTATTGCAATTGCAGTATCACTATAGGCATTATCTAGAGTTTAATGACCAAATTATGTTAAAAGGTCCTGTTGGTTAACTCCATTCTGACAGCAGTGGGAAGTAGTGGTCAATGAGGACAATGCAGGGCCTTTCAACCTGTCCAATATTACTATAACTCCATAAAATGTTTCCATGAAAATGTGAAGCTGCAAAACTTGTCTGGGTTTGGATTTTGTTATCAATGTGCAACTCTGAAAGTAAACCATACAGATTATCTAGCTAGTTGAAGATGTGCACAACAAAAATACCACGTTTTCCAAAAACCTAGGATGAGTCCCAGATGTTTTTTGCTAGGATAGAATGGATGATTACCAGGGTAACCCCACGGTCCTGAGAACCAGGAATTTTCCTATGATTAGGAGCCTGTGTAGAGTCTAATTCTGGACACATTTATGTTTTTATAGGTTCAGTAACCTCACTGGAACTGTTCTTAATTGACAGTTACATAGGTGAGATCAGGATCAGACCTCACATTTTTGCGCTTGTGGACATCTCCCAGATGTCTAGTAAAGCAATTTTTGTTTGTCCTAATCTTTCCTGACCTGTTCACACTTCTCACTTTGAAAACAAAGCTTCTACCCTCTTCTGCTCCTCTCCAGACCCCATTTGCAGCTTTCAAATCAAATACTGATTCTCACAGCAACCTCTCTGAAGTACAACGCAATTGAAGGAAGTGAAGGATTCTGGGAAGAACAACTTCAGCGTTCAACAGCTTTCAAACAGAAAAAACAATCATCAACCAGAACAGCCCTCAGGATTTGCAAAATAGATTGTCCTTTATACTGAAATCATTAAAATAAGTTGACTGATTTTTACTTGGACTGAAACTTACCCAAGTGCAAGCTGTCGACATACAACTGTTGCATCATTATTGTCCCAATGGCTCCCACAGATTATTCCCCAGATTCCATTCAAATAAACTTCCACTGTACCTTCAAACTCATTCTTGCCACCCTGGAGTCTCACTGACCCTAGTTAAAAAAATTTTTAAAATAAGCCTCCAAGATACTTCATTGCTCAATTAATGCATCCTGCACAAAAGAATCCGAACCTGATTTTCCCTCTGCAGAGAGGGTTGTTGTTTCATGTATTACCATCTTTGTGCTCTTTGGGTGAGCTGCTTCTAAGAAGCGCTCTGACACATCTAACATTCTTATACAGTGATATACAAAAGAAGATAACATTATTTTTTACATAAGACATTTTGCTTGTTATACTGAAATTATATCACATTTCTGATTCTTCTGGTGGTGCTACAATTAGTTAAAGATCTAGCCAAAAAAGAAGTATTGTAGACTACACATATCATAATTATTTAAATGTGGTTACCTCTACCCAAATGAGCAAAAAGTGTGTGTGTGTATATATATATATATATATATATATATATGCATGCTATACTTTTAACTTCCATCAAATTTAAGGGAATCACAAAACAACCACATGGATTGCATAGCTTTTGCTCTGACCCATGTAATGTTGTGCATGTCATGGATGTCAGCAGTTTATTTTAGCCAAAGAATGCATTTGTTCATACTTGTTCTCAGACAGAAAAACACTGGATGTAGTTCTATTAATTCATGAGAGGTCCTTACCAAATTCTCAGACAAAACAAGCTAAAAACATGAGGAATCATCTAAAAGAAGTGGGGGAAAATACCCTCTGCTTCTTGAGAGCTACAGGACACAGAAATCCAAGAAAATGAATCAGATTTTCCATTTTTTTTACAGTATTTTTGCTTGAGATGCCAGATGCATCTGCTGTTGCAACTAGCCAAGTGCCACTGGTAAAGGTGGGAAAAATCTCGTCATAGGTCTAACTCTACAGAGCAGAATAAAGGGTCATAACAGAGCAGTAAATCAAGAAGAAATAAGACATTCCTGTTAAATTATCAAACATAGCCTAATTGTATGCATTAGTATTACCTGAAATCTGTTAATCCATCTGTCTCTGTTCTGTGATCTACTTAAAATCAGAAGCTACCCCATCACCCAGTTTGCAGGGTTTTTAGTGATGGGAGAAAAAAGTTAATGTTTGTGCCTGCATTGCATTGTATATGTGGTCATGTATGTGTAAATAATAATAATAATAATAATAATAATAATAATAATAATAATAATAATAATAATAATAATAATAATAATAATAATAATAATAATAGGTAGATCCACTTTTTCTTCCCAGCTTTCACTCAGATTGTGTATTGGTTTTAATTTAGTTCAGTGTATTTTATAAAACCACAAAGCCAAATGACTGCTAAATAACACAAGGAATTAATTAACCTCAAACTTGGTTTTGTGTGTTCCTTTTTGCTTACTGTTTACTTTCTCAGGAGTAACTTACTGTGCAGTAAATGACAAACAAAACTTATTCAACTCATGTTACAGAGTGAGCTATCACTCTGAATAGGGAATTATTAATGAGTTAATTTTAATAATACTGTAGGCATGTTGCACACTGTTTATCTGTATTTATAATTTTTCTCTTTGTGTTTTTCCATCACATACAGAGAGAGTCTGGAATTTTGTTTATTTCTGCTCTTCAGCAGACTTTTGTATAGACTATTATTTTCACATGAAACACCAACTGCAGTCATATCAAAGTGATTCCTGACATACCAGAAAGCAATTTTGAAGATGTCATCTCCAAAAATAAGGGGGTTTTTTTTATGATTGCTTACAGTCCTGCATGACACCTACCGAAATCATTACAGTGTTTCCTGAGTGCACATTACACAATATTTCTATTCAGATAAATGCAAAAGGGAGTACTTGAAGAATAAAATTCTCTTCTAAGGTCTGTATGGCAGAATTTGGCTCACTCCTCTTTCTGTATTTACAGAATTTCCAGTGACAACAGTGGAAGAATTTATTCACGTATGCAGAGCAAAGATAGCACAAGAGATAACTGGCACATCAGAAACTCCTTTCCTAACAATTAAAAATGAAAGAAATTCTAAATCCTTTGCATCTCTAGTAGAAGCTGCAGGAAAGAAGTTTGAAAAGCACAGAGTTCTCAGTCACTGTGGACATGTATCATTTAAAAAAGGAAACAGCCTTTCCCTCACCACCCACTCCCCTAAGGAACCCCGGGTGACATCTGGTCCCTGCTGAAGTGGGAAAACACACTACTGATATCAGTTGGTAAGGAAGGGAAAACGACTGAAAGGGACAGTGCCTTATTTCCGCATGCCTGTGCAAAAAGACATAGGTGAAAATAATAAATAAGGGATTTTAAAAAAAAAAATATCTCAAAAAAAATGTTTTGGTTTGCCTTTCTCCTGTAGATTTACAGGATTTACACAATGCTTTATGAAGGGTGGTAGGATACATAACAGACCTTTGTTCATCTTGCAAGAAAATACTATAAAGAACCAGTTTCTCTCATACAGAAAACACACAAGATGATGTTAAAGGTAATTTCATAACAAATTTAAATTATTCTTGATTTTCACCTGATAAATTAATCTAGAATGAAATAAAAATGTGCCTATTTTTACATGTAGCTAATCTTAAACCTCTTATTATGCCTGCTGTTTAACGGACTTAACTAAATATATGATACAATAACTCTAATGTGGTTGCACGGACTCACTACTCTCCTTATAGGACAGTATTGATAGCTATAGCTATGGTTAGCCTAAACCATCCAGGGCAAAATCCAGCATTCTTTCCTGAAGCAAAACAGTAACTAAAACCATTTTTTTAAAAGGAAAGTCAGAACTGAAAACCCTCTGAAAGGTTAGTATCTCCAATGTTTTTTTCTAAGTCCAGTCTAAGTGTTTTTAGCTCAGTATTTCAGCACTGTATCCAGCAAGAGTAAAATGATATTTTTTGTTTCATATTTTTTGGGGTTTTTTGTTTCATATACACTTTGAAGTAGGTATCAACCTGTATCTTATGACAAGTCATAATTATGTGGCAAGCAAATCAAAGTGCACACTAATGAGAAAATTATTTCTCTGTTGTTCATTCAGTGTTGCAGTATTCAGACCCCTGCTAGTTATTTTACTGGATCAAGAGATACATTAGTTGCTGTAACATGGACACCTCATGAAACAGAACTTTAAAATATAGACTTTCATTTCAGTAGCTTATTTTTTCTTTTCAATATGTAAAGCTCTTACTTCATGTGTAAATTGATCATAGGGAATTGCAAGATGACCAACATTATCTGCCGCCATGCATGCTCATGCTGTATTACCAAGTTTCTGTTTATTACTCATGATTCAATCTTTGTTATTAAGAGTGTGTTAACATCTTACTTGCAAGGTAATCAGTGTCTGCATTGTTAAAATGACTTTCACTTCACAGGCCGCAAGAAAACTAGTATTTAGCATGATTAAAAGGATACTGGTTAATTCTTAATTTCCCTGGTTAAGTCTTCTACTGTTACATTTTAATACCTCAAGCCCATAGTGCACCTCAACATGTGTGCCCAAGGGGCTTCCTTCTGTGCTACCCCTAGGGCACAAGAAGCTCTGGAGAAGAGAATCTGAATTAATTCTTAGAAAACAGGTCTGGCTTAAGCATATGCATTGGAGGCTTTAGGTTTCTGGAGTCCTAGGTATGTTAGCATCTCCATTTATTAAACTGTAAGTTTTCAGCTTTTTCAGTTACTGAAGAGGACTAAACATGTGGGAGTAGAGCTAACGAAGTAATATCTACTCTGGCTTTTATGCAATGCTCTGAGAAACTCACACTCTCTCCCCTCTCCACCAACTCAATAGAGTGTCAAGCCTCTGCTTAAAGTGCTTATCAAATCTTCACGGCTTCAACACCACTGCTTCAACGCCGAGCTCAACAGCAGGGAACTTGAGTACAGGGATCCTGCCCATGGCTCTCAGTGCCCTCCTCAGGATAAGGAGAGGTGAACTGACCCCACAAGAGTTCGAAACAAGGGCCCAGGACCACAAAGCAGGCCTACCAGGCAGCTCTAGGATACATACTGTGGTCTTACAAAGGACTTAATTCAGCCCTATATCGAAGAATTTGAATCTACTCTCTTGCCAGAAACTCCTTCAGTTATATACGCTCAAAAAATACCTATGTGTTTCTTCTAATTATGTTCTAGCTGAGGTTACTGACGGTCAATTCATGTTGTTTACATACAGTCTGGTAATTTTAGTTACCCTGGTATCTGCCCAAGTCAGAGTCTTTCCTATCTGCTATCACTGTTTAAAAGAGATTAAGTTATACTTGCAAATGCAAGGAAGTAAGGGTATCCAGTGGGTGCTGCTGAGACTTGCTCCGCAACACCTGCCATATAGGCTCAAGATGAGACACACAGGAAAAAAGAGAGAGGAAGACTTCTCAGCCAACTTTTAATCGACTCCAAAAAGCAGAAGAGGTTCAAAGGAATTACACTGTTGTGCTTGGCCTCTTTTCCTATATCATTCTCATGTCCAGAGATGCTGGGTAGCTTCTAAACCTATTTTATTTTCTACATTTCACTAAGAACAAGCATTGTTACTGAGTGTGGCCAAATTGCAGATAGAATGGGAATCACTTCCAATTCTGTATTCTGTATACTTCAAAGAAGTATTCTGAATTTTGGAAATGTGTAAAAGCAACAATTATTTTTATTTCTGCTTTCATTTCCTAGGTGTTGCAACATGGGATAGTGCCACAGAAAGGCCCTGCGCTGATTGTTCATCACTGTTGCCTTGGAGTCAATTAGGTAAGTCCAAACTGACATAAAGTGTGAGGGTCTCCCATGCTGATATCCTGTGTAACCACATTGTAACTTGTAGTATCTCAGAACACTAGTGGATGATTCCTAAGACACATAAAAGAGTCTATCCCAGTTTCAGAATGAAACTAATGCATTGGTTTGCATGAGGTACTTGAAAAAAAGCTACTTGTAGTATAGGTCAAATCAAACACCAGTTCAAATCAATGGAAACTTTTCTTCCCTTCCAGGATCAGGGCTGGCTAAAATCAAACAAATTAATCCTGTTGACTACAGCAAAACTAAGGATGACGCTCACTGCAATCGATAAATGCTATTGTCCATCACTTTCCTGAGCACTGCTTTTAGTCTAAAATTACAATTATTTTTTCTTGGTATTTTAACCTTGAAAAAATGGTGTATTCATCAGAAATACTTTTTAAGAACTATCTTGAGAACTTTAGCAGATAGCAGTATTGCACGCACAAGGATCCTTATATTAGAAGATTCGTAAATATTGTATATATTGTGTGCAATGTGCTGAATCGGTTCCTCTGCAGCAGTGAGATTCATCATGTCAATGATCAATGGTTTAAGGCTCTGAAAAAATAAACTGAAACGTTAGGAGTGTAACAGACTCCAAAGGAGTGAAGTTGTCTTGTGTGGTAGAGAGCTATAGAAAGTGAGGGGTCTCATGCTGTGCAGCTGGGTTCCAGAAGAGTTGCTTCTTAGAAGGAAAATACAGACATTAATGTTTAATTTTTCATCATATTCTTTTTCTTAACCCCATGCTATTTAAAAAAACAAAACCCCAGAAGACCTTCCATCAACTGCCTGGACTATAGTAGGGAGGGAGAATAATCTAGCGTTTAGACTATGAGCCTGAGACTTCATTCTTCTCTCACAAAAGTTTAGTGAAGCATTATTTGACTGGCATTAGTAGAATTATCCTGTGTTAAAAGCAATTTAAATGGAAAGACTCTACAGTCTGGCCATTCTGGAGATGTGTATTTTATTTCCAGTTCTGCCACTGATGGGTAGCGTGGCCTCTGCCAAAGACACTTACCCTCTCTCTCGTATTGCTTTCCCTTTGTAAAGAAAAATAGTTAACCCACTTTACTTAAAGAGTTTTAAATTAGTTACTTAACAACATAGGATGAACAATATGTCATGCAGAATACTGTAACTACATGCCACATAAACACTGTGTGGTAGCAGCTGCTTCTAGGTACTTAGCAGGCCTTTTTTTTTTTTTTTTTTTTTAAGCATAAATTACAGGTAAGCTGTTATTAGCAGTAACTAAAATACTGCATTCTGCTGGACTTAGGCTGGCTCTGTGTACAGAGTACTCTTGTACTCATTTATTTTCCTCTATGATTTCCTTGGTTAATCATAATTTTTATATATATATATATATATATAT